TTTCCAGGGCTCGGAAGGCCTCTTCCCCCCCTCCGCTCAGAGCGGGCAGGAGACGGGCCGCCCACTCTCCTCTGGGCCACCGGCAGGCTTGGGCCACCTGCTCAAAGGAGGCCAGGAAGGCCTTGGGGTCTTCCCAGGGAGAAGCCTCCAAGTTCCCTCCTGTGTGGGCGGACTGCAACATCTGGAGGAACTGCTGCCACTGGGCTTCCCAGCATTCCTCCATCCTAATGAATGGGTCCTTTTTGCTCTTTCTGGATGCTCCCCATCCTGGTGGCTCAGACATACATTGAGACTGGATTGCCCGGCCTTCTTGACTCTCATCTAATTCTGACCCACAGCCTTTTCCCATTGTTCTGCTTTCTCTCCTGATTGTCCTCTGAAATCTGAAGTATTGACAAGTTTTAGCAGGATGTATTAAGACCATCCAGCCCATGAGAGACTTAGCATAGTTTGAAAGAAATAATTATGAAAGGTAGCAGAAGTTCTCTTTCTGATGCTGAAGGAACGGACTGAACCCGCCACTCCCAGTTTCTTATCCCAGCTCAAAGGGCCCTGATGTGAATACACTGAAGTTGGTGAAAACTGACCGAGCCCAACCAGGAAAGTGAGTGTAATCCTCAAATTTACACCATGACATACCAAATATTAACCAACTAAAACAAAATAAAACCAAATTAGTTTCACCGACAGTAACCCACAAGCAAAATATAATTCCTGATGGAAGTGCAACCTGTATCTGTGGGCATGCAAGCCCACCCACCGAGCCTCTCGTGTTTGTCCATATCCTGAAGTACCATCTGAATTATTTCTAAAAGAAAATAATTAGGATAACAGATGCAAGCGGCAGTTTTTTTTTCTACCCGTTTTATAATCTGGGAGTTTAAATTTCAAAACTGCATGAGCTTTTAGAGTTCACGAGGAACTTCGTTTTCAACGTGAATCTGATTCAACTGGGCCAGGTCCACTAACTAACTACAGTATTATGAGGGTTATTGTTTTATGCACGTGCCACTTGGGGAGGGGAGCCGCGGAAGGGGAGCACGGAGGACTAACCAAGCGAAGGGGCTCAGCTGCCAGCCGAAGAACTCCGCGGCAGACCCGCAGCGGCGCCCACCCGCGGGGGACGGACGGAGGAGGGGGAGGTCGCCCCTTCCTCCTTTGCACCGCGGAGCCCCGTCTTCCCCGGCCTGCATCGCTGCGCTGGAAAGGCATGCAATGCAGAGCAGAGCAGAGCAGAGCAGAGCAGAGCAATGCAATGCGGGGCATCCGGGACGAGGCCCGAGGGAATCCGAGGGGGCTCCCCGAGATAAAGGC